TGAAATTTTACAAGGTCCAGTTGTTTTTCATGGACAATTAATTTATTAACAATTACAACACGCTGTTTTCCTAGCCTAAATCTAGAGTTTTTTGCATAAATTTTGTATGCATGTTTATTTCCTTCGAGAGACCTTGAATTGTCAGATTTCCAGCAGTGGCTGAGGCCTCAGCTGTCCATCAGCCATATCTGTTGACAGGATGTGTTCAGGTACCCTCCCGCCCCCACGCTTGTTCGGAGTTGTTGCACTCTGTTTGCTTAACCTGTGCTGTTTGTTTTTCAGACGGGGAACTGGTGCTTTTAAATCCAGAGCAGGACTGCCTACTCCTGCTCCTGTCATCAATAGCAAATACGGACTCAGAGAAACCGACAAACGGTTAAATAGGCTTAAAAAGTTAGGGGACAGCAGCAAAAATTCTGACAGTCAATCTGTCAGCTCTAACACCGATGCAGATACCACTCAGGAAAAACACAGCGCAAGTAAGTAAGGGAGACTGGATGCGTGTACCTCTTTCTTTGCTTTTTTCAGTGTATTTTCATTGGCCCTCTGAAGCGTGCTTCAGTGGTTTTGAACTTTTAGGTAGCAAGAAATGGGGGCTCTTGCACTTCAGTCCTCCCTGAGGTTCTAGAAATGGTTGGAGCACTGGGGTGCAGTTTGTAGCCATTTCCAGCTTCAGTCCTGTGGTCTAAATAAATGTTGGTTTTCCTGGAATACTTGGTAACTGGATATTGACCACTTCACCACACGTGCCAGGGCTGTCCTGTGTTGGAAACTGATGTTGTTAAGGTTTTGTAACAGGATGATGATGTCACTAGGCCCCACCTGAAGACCATGGCCTGGTAACCCTAGGCAGGCAGTATGCACATCCTGGGGTCTAGCCAGCGTGCTCTGGAAAGATGACGGACCTGGGAGCATTCCTCGTGGCAGGTGCTCTGGTACTGCTTGTCCATCTTGGTCAAAACGAGTGGGCCCAGGTCACCACCCTGCCCGGCAGCAGACTCAGCAGGGGGGCTGTGAAAAGGGGAGAGGCAAGCCCTGAGATGAGCACGTGTGGGTGGGTCTGACAGAGGCTGACAGAGGTGGGGATAGATGAGAGGGGGGTCTGACAGAGGTTGACAGAGGTAAGGATAGGCGAGAGGAGGGGTCTGACAGAGGTGGGGATAGGCGAGAGGAGGGGTCTGACAGGTGGGGATAGACGAGAGGTGGGGTCTGACAGGCTGATAGATGTGGGGATAGGCAAGAGGAGGGGTCTGACAGAGGTGGGGATAGGCAGAAGGAGGGGTCTGACAGAGAAGTGGGGGATAGATGAGAGGAGGGGTCTTGACAGGTGGGGCTAGACGAGAGGAGGCGGCTCGGCCACAGGAAGCACGTGTGTGTGTGTGCACGTGAGTGTTATTGTGGGGGTGGGGCTGGACGGGCTGGAACCCCTCGGTGCTCTCTCTCCGTTTGGTGGCACCAGTTTCCACTAGGTGCCGCTTAAGGGCTGGGCTGTATGTGTAGACTCGTCTCTGACAGGCATGAAGTGACCAGCGCTGACATGGTGGTCCCCACTGTGGGCGGGTCCTGGCATCCTCAATGTCCAATGAAACTTCTGTCGATGAGCACTCAGCACCCAGAGGGGCTGATTATTTTAGGCTCTTCACCCAGCAGCCTTCAGGTGTATTTGGCCAGCACATCTGAGCATACCACACCTGCCTGCCCCACAGACAGCCCTGAAGCCAAAGGCAAGTGTCCCCATGGTGGTGGACGCCATTGCCAGAGTCCCTGAAACTGCTGGTGTCAGAGGCCAGTTGCACCCCTGGGGTCTAAGGTGTGCTGCCCACCACCCCCGTCCCCGCTGATGGTGCAAGTGCACGAGGGCAGTGGTCAGTCCTTGGCCGTTGGTAATGGTTGCTGTGCAGGGAACCATGGTTTGAGTCTGGGTCCCTGCAAAACCAGAGACCTGAGACGCTTCATAAATAAAGGGCTGAAGGAGGACATTCTGGAGCCTGCTGCCGCCTGTCCGCATGGGACGGGCCTGTGACATTCGTGGGGGCTGTGGGGGTTTACGCATGTTCTGTGTCACTGGTGTATCAACAGTGAGCCTGGTGCACCACTTTGGTATCAGAGCAGGATGCAGGTACATGTGCAGAGGTCCCACTGTGCTGATTAATGAGTGCCCATCTAGGAAATGCTGATCACCCAAGTAGTCATGCAGAGGCTGCAAGTGAGAAAGAGTGGGGCAGTGCTTAAGCGCCAGCTGGAGGGTCAGCCGTGTGACCCAGCCGGCAGCCGGTCAGGAGAGACCTGGGGATCCGGTCCCGCCGAGACGACAGGTTCAGACCCTGCGGGATGGTTCTACTCGGCCCTGTGCACCTGCTCCTCACTTCACTGTTGGGTTGTCTGACATTTTGCATTGACAACAATAAGAAGAAATCACCTACCCAATTATTTTGTGCATTGATGACGTCTGTGTGGCAGTAATGGACACCAAGGTGCAAGGTGAGCGTAACGCTGTCTGTGAAACTCAAGAGTATGTGTCATCTTGGCTGGGCCTGGAATCTCAGTGGCTTGGCAGTCAGTCAAGTAATGATGGCACCGTTCTCCATGTTGGATCTGATGTCACCCTCTGTCTTCACATGACGCTGATGTTTGCTGGCCATCCTCGTCTTTGGAACCTCCCTGTGTCGATAGGTGAGGAGTGGGTATAATGCCACTGTGAGTTGCAAATCAACTTGACAGCACGGCAGCAGTCGGAGAAGAGCTCCAAAGATGTCTGGGACCTGCCCCTCCCTCAGAAGCTTACCTTTTAGTTCCCCGAGGAGACAAGCACACAGGTGGCCGTGCGAGCAGACTGCAGTCGGAATTGGACGTGGGATAGAGGACAGTGTACACCCCTCGATGCAGCCTCAGCATTAGAGTAAAAGGGAAACCGACACCCCCGAGCCTCTACTCCTGGGGAGCTTGCTCTGTTCACCACCTTCTGCAGAACGGTTGAGGGATTTGAGGGTTGGGATGACTTGTCCTGAGAGGCACCTGACTGGTGGGGCGCCACGCTCGCTAGGAGCTAGAGGCCTGTTGACGTTAAACCCTGTTCCCAGAACTGTTCTCTCACGTTCCTACTTGAGTTCTTTTAGGCTGTATTTGTGTTTGGATGTTTCTGCCTCAAACGTACTCTTCCACTTGTTAGCAAGAAAGGCTTTTTAAGCAGCAGATGGTAGCCAGCCAGCACTTCTCCCAGGGCACTGGACGGTGGATGCCAGTTTGGGCTCCTCTCTGGAAGCCTGTCTTCGTCCTGCGTTTAGAATGTAGCTGCTGATCAAGGAACTCCTGTCTTTGAATTGCATGTGTGTGCTTCTGAAGAAGCATCTCAGCTTGGTGGAGGGACGTAACCCTTCCTTCCACGGCAGGTCATGTTTTGAAAGGTGACCAGAGAGCTACAGGCTGGCTGGTTCCCTTAGTATCCACAGAGGAGAGACCCTGCGATCCACAGACCTGAGTTGTTGATGCCACTGTGGAATGCACTGTTCTCAGCCCTTGGGCTTGGCTGTCCTGGAGGGTGCAGACGGGCCACCCTTCCTTCCCACTGCTGTGCCCTGGTAGGTGCCTCTGGTGTCCCTAGTGCTCGCCCCTGATGCACTGCTTTGTCCAGGCACACGGCACCAGCCCGACTGGTCCCAAGTGGAGAAAGCTGTGTGTGTGCTGTGAACTCCCGGAGGCCAGGGTGCTTCCAGTCCTGCGGCAGGTTTTCTGTGTCTCCGTGCTCTGAGGACGCTTCACTAGGCATGGCCCTCAGGCAGTGAGCTTCACTGTGCACCTTGCCAGTGCTTTCCCAGCCGAGCCTGAGTGCTGAGGAAGACTTTGAAGTCCCTGCTGCCCACACATCTCACTGTCACGTGGGTGGGCCTTAAGTGTTGATGGCCACCCAGGGCTGCCCGCTGCTCTTGAGGACAGCCTGGGGTGACCCCAGTAGTGTGTGCTGGGGTCACTGGCACCGTGACAACTCTGTGCTGTGCCTGAGCGGCAGAATGACAGCGTTTGCAAACAGCTCCAGCCCCATCTCTGTCCCTTCCACGTGGAGGCCTCAGGCAGGCAAGCCCACGTGCCCGTTGGGTCTCGCTGAGGTGTGACGGCACCGACTTCCTGGGCTGTGTGTCAGGGTTGAGGTGATCCTAACTGGGACGTTGCACGCACCCCCACCACAGTTCCCGTCTAGACTCATGCGTGTGGGCTTTGTCCCGACCGGAGTGGACAGCACTCTAGCACTGCAGCTGGGCTCGCCACAACCACAGCTTACCTCCACTCAGGCAGCGTCCTGAGTCGCCCTGGATACACTTGTTGGCTTTTACTTTGTTTCTATGGCCACTGTCCTCTGCCCTTACCCTTATTATCACTGACATTCTCAAACCCTCCCCCTAAGGATGGTGTTGCCCCTTCGTGGAACAGTGGTGAGCTCTTGGCACTGTTGGACTCACCCTGGTCAGCTCTCAGCTGCCTGGCAGCCTGTTGGCATCTGTCTATGGTTAGCACACCTGTGGCTGGGCTTTTAAGAGGTGCTGCCTTTCAAATACAGTGAGAGTCCACGGGTGAGTACTGGGCCACATTCCCAGTGAGAGTCACGGGCGAGTGCCAGGGCGCATCACGAAACCTCTGTATTAAAATGATAGCACCAAATACGGTCTGTTCTGTACTCAGCTCAGAACATAAAACCACCAGGGCACTGGTTGGAGATCACCGCTGTCGGCTAACAGTGAGTGTGGAAGGAGGGTGCAAAGGGGAGACCAGACTCAGTTGCTGTAAAGTGACACTCGTTCAGTGGGAGACGTGATACGTGACAGGAGTCTGGGTGCCATGAGAGCTCATAGCAAGGGCCCCCAATTTACTCTGGAAGTCACACGAGGCTCCCTGAGAGGAATGTGTCCTGAGCCAAGGCTCACAGAGGCATGAGGAGCTGGGCTGAAGTCCGAGGCCGTGGTGTGGATGGAGCCGTGGAGATGAGTGTAGGACTTGAGCAAACGGCCCGTCGTGGCTAGACTAGGAAGTGGAAGGAGGGCATGAGCTTAGGGGTACCATGGTGGGCCTTAGTCCTGGAGCATTAGGTGATGAAAAGACTTCACACCCGGAGCAGTGTCCTAGGGAGGCCTTCCGGGCCAGTGGACTCTGGGGGAGCAGTGGGATGATGGGGAGACGGCTGGGGGGCTGCTGCCGTGGTTAATGTGAGGCAGGAGGTGATGGCCGGGGGATGGGAAGCAGCAGCCAGGGCCCAGCCGACTGCTGGGGTGACGCCTCGGGCTGGGGTGAGGTGAAGGCCTGGTTCTAACTTGGTGGCTGGGCCCGTGGTGGTGTCGTTGACCGTGAGGGAAAAACCAAGAGGAGAAGCAGCCATGAGGTATGGTTCCAATCAGACCTACTGAATGTGAGGGCCTTACAGAGGCAGCCTCAGAGAGAGGTGGCGGTTGGCGTTGGTGATGTCAGCTGTAAGAAGACACTTGGGCTGGAGACAGCAGGGAGGGAGCTGGCAGCACGTCCATGGTCGTAGCCATGAAGAGTAGATGCCTGCGTGCAGGCAAGTACATAGGGTTTCCAAAGGGCCGAGGGCAGCAGAGATGGGGGGTGAGCACCTTCAAAGGGGTGCCCGGGAGGTGGAGGAGAGCAGCAGGGCCAGTTGTCGGAGCAGCCAAGGAGCGAGAGGGCTTCCTGGAAGAGAAAGGGTCCCAGGACCCCTTCTGTAGAGAAACGAAAGGGAGGGGCTGAGAGGTGCCCTGCATTTTGTGATGACGTTGTTGGGGAGATGGACCCCAGCTGCAGGGCGTAGCTGCTGAGGACCTGGCACGGCCACTGAGCCTGTTGGAAAGGGGTCACTGCAGGTGTGTGTCGACAGTGGGGCGGGAGAAGGAGAAAAGTGAAAGGCGGGCCTCCACGAAGCTTGATCACGGAGTGCTCCTCGAAGAGGCACAGGATAAGCAAAGGCTCGTCAGGGATGCGTGTGAGACGGACGGACGGACACTGAGCGGACAGTCTACCTTGGGTTGTGCCTGGAAACCAGCAGCAGCATCTGCCAGTGCATGCTGCCAGACGCTGACAAGCTCGGCCCCTGGGCCACTTGTGGGCAGGCTTTGTTGGTCGCGGTCCTCAGAGAAAGGCTTCTCTCAACGTCCTTACGTTGCCAGACTGCTGCCCCAGGCAGTTCTGCGTCGTCGCCTTGTGCGTGTACTGCGTGAGAAACCATCGCTCTCAAACAGAACAGCGTCCAACCTCCAGTACAACTGCTGTACAGATAAGCTGGCCCCTTGGTCCCAGCCCCCCACCCCCCCAAGTAAGCCTGCTCGTGGCTCCGTCGCTGGCTCTCCTCCCGGGGAGGGGTGTGTGCCTGGAGCGGTTTCCAGGCCAGTCCTTGGGTGCAGAGCCTCGTGTCCTCGGTGCTGCTTTTCCTCCGTGGTTCTCGCTCACGGTGGAAACCAGCTGCCGGTGACGTGCTCGGCGGAGCGGGGTGGGAGCTCCCCCAGCAGCCCTCAGACACACGACGGGCGCACAGCCTCGGGCTGCAGGCCCGGGTGGTCTCGTTTGACTTTTTATTGTGATTTGGGGGAAATTGTACAGAGCAGGTTTGTTTCCCATTTGACGGTTCGCGTTTTGTGACGCTGGTTACAGTCGGCAGGGTTTCTGACCGTCTGGAACTGGCATGGTGGCCTTCCGCGGGGCACCTAGTCTGACTTCCTCTGCTCCTGGTGACGGTGGTTAGCAGAGGACGACCTGAAGGGTATTTGGATCATGAAGCAATTTTGCGGTTGGGCTCTGGGGGCACTCAGCAATTGAGAAATGGAGTCACATTTTAAAGTGGGTATAGGTTCAGGTTGTAAACTTCGGGGCGGGAAACCAAGCAGAGAGTCCGGGTCACGGCAGGAGCCCCAGCCCTCAGCCAAGCCCTCTGAGAAGTCACAGGGGCCCCGCTCCCTGCTCAGCCTGTCACCAGCAGGCCCGGCCTGTTTCAGTGCCCTCGTCTGGGAGGAAAGAAGCTGGCTCCTCCTTGTTCTCGGGGCCTTCTATCAGCGGGCCCATCTCTCCTCTCCCAGACTGCTGGCTGGGGCGGGACCCCCCGGAAGGTTGGCTGCCCTGCACTCAGATGGCAGTGGGCTTTGCAGAGTTGACGGGAACGGCTTATGCAGAGTGTTGGCGTTTGGGGTAAATATCACTTGGGAACCAGAGCGCACGGATCTTAGGCCTGGTTTTGTCGTCTGCGACTGTTTTAGTACTTTGTCTCAGAGCTCTCAGACCCGGACGGCCCTGTTCTGTTTCTGGCCACTGTAACTCAGACACTTAAAGTTAATGAGTATTTAAGGAAAGTATCTTAAATGACCACTTAAAGAATTTGTGGGAATAACTCCAAATCTTCTATTTGATAAAATAGGAAAGTAGACGAGCGTGGCTCAGTGTCATGTGGTTGGAGAACCGGGAAACTGAAGTCAGAGTGGTGCTGGGCTGAGATCCTTCAGCCGTAAAATCACTCACCTTGGGAGTGACTAGGTGGACGGCACACGTTAGAAGGAGAAACTAGAGAAAGCGCTGAAGGAAAGGCCCTGGTCACACAGTGGTTAAAGTGCTCAGCTGCAGACCAAAAGATAGCACTTTGAACCCACCAGCTGCTGTGTAGGAGAAAGATGTAGCAGCCTGCTTCCCTAAAGACTGATGGCCCTAGAAACCCTGTGGGCAGTTCCACTCTGTCCTCTAGGGGCGCTGTGGGTCGGAACCGACTCCACGGCAGTGGGTTTGGATTAAAGAAGGAAAGTGAGGCTGGGAATGCTGGTGGTGCTACGAGCTACCCCACCTGGTTCCCACATCCATGTAGGCACTGGCAGTCTGGTTGGGGACATTGTTTTCTTGAACACAGCTGTGTTTCCAAGACTTTTCTGACATATTTTTTTCTCACCTTTCAGCTTCTACCCGAAAATCTTCAGTTGGTGTGAAAAAGAACAAGAGCCGCACACTGACCAGGCAGTCTCTGTCTAGAATTCCAGCTTCGTCCAACTCTACCTCATCAAAGCTAACTCACATAGACAATGCCAGGGTACCAAAGAAACTGAAAAAGCCTGCCAAGCCTTTACTGTCCAAGATAAAATTAAGGAATCACTGCAGACGGCTGGAGCAAAAAAGTGCTTCCAGAAAACTTGAAATGGGAAACTTAGTACTTAAAGAGCCTAAAGTAGTTCTGTATAAAAATTTGCCCATTAAAAAAGACAAGGAACCAGAGGGACCAGTACAAGCTGAAGTGGCCAGTGGGTGCTTGACCAGACACGCAGCAAGAGAACACAGACAGAACTCCGTGATAGGTGCTCACACGCAGGGTGAGGGCTCACCCTGCTCTTACATCACCCGGCGGTCAGCGCGGACGAGGCTGAGCCTGCAGGAGGCCTCTGACATCAAGCTGGACCCAAACTCAGTGGACAGCTACAAAGACAGCACAGCAGAGCCGTGTGCCAATGGGGACGGGCAGCCGCCCCCCGGATTGCAGGAGGAGGACCTGGCTCGTGGAAACGTACAGAAGGGGGATGCAAAGTGTCACCGGAGTGACACTGGCGTAGCAAAAAAGAAATCGCGCCAAGGAAGGCTTGTGAAGCAGTTCACCAGAATAGAGGGGTCTGCCCTGGTGCACAGCTCCCCCGCCAGAGACGGTGCAGGGCCGGATGTGCCGGGCCCCCATCCCGAGCCAGGGGAGCACAGTGGGACGGGGGGCCCGCCTGCAGGCCGTGCAGACTGGGCTCCCTCCGCCGGCGGCCACTCGATGGTCACAGCAGACAGTTTCCAGGGCAAAGACGGCTTTAGGACTGCCAAAAGCAAGAAGAAACGGCGCATCACGCGATACGATGCGCAGTTGATCCTGGAAAACAGCTCGGGGATCCCCAAACTGACCCTTCGCAGGCGTCATGACAGCAACAGCAGGCCGAGCGAGCAGGAGAAGGATGGGGTGAACTCTTCAAAGATAAGCATCAAGTTAAGTAAAGACCACGAGAGCGACAGTAACCTGTATGTGGCCAAGCTGAACAGCGGCTTTAACTCGGGGTCGGGCAGCAGTTCCACGAAACTGAAAATCCAGCTGAAACGGGACGAGGAGGGCAGGCCGTCGTACGCAGAGGGCCTCCACGAGAACGGGGTGTGCTGCAGCGACACGCTCTCTCTGCTGGAGTCCCGCATGGAAGTCGGCGACTACAGTCAGTACGAGGAGGAGAGTACCGATGAGTCCTCGTCCTCAGAGGGCGACCAGGAGGAAGAGGACTACGACGATGACTTTGAAGATGACTTTATTCCTCTCCCCCCGGCGAAGAGATTGCGGCTGATCGTTGGGAAGGACTCCATTGACATTGACATTTCTTCAAGGAGAAGAGAAGACCAGTCCTTGAGGCTCAACGCCTGAGCTCGTGGTCTTGGCTGGACCTGCATAGCTCCTTTAAGGAAATAGAGAAATGTCGGTCGGTTCTTCCTCGGCTGAAACGTCCTGGCGGCAGCACTCTGCTGTCTCTTCCCTTACGGCAGAACACTGTAGAGTGTGCAGCGTACTGACCCTTCTGAATCCAATTTGTGCACATTTTTATTGTACTTTTTAACTAGCCTTCTTACGTGCAATTCCGAGTTCGAGGTAAAGCTGTGTTGTAAAATAAAATAAAGGCTCAAGCAAATTGTACAGCGCTATCAACTTTCCACACCGGACACTGAAAACAATAATGTGGCTACACGATTTTTTTTAACTCTAAGAGCATTAGCTGGCTCTTTAAAACATGACTAAACAATAACAAATCATAGCAACAGCATATTAAGGTTTTCTAGTATATGTTAATATCACCAGCAATGATCGATGGCTTTTTGATTTTTTTGCTACATGTCCCCCTCTTTTGGAGTCTTGTTAGTTTCACACTGTTTGTTGGCCCAGGTGTACTATTTGTGGTCTCTGTTAAAGTAGCAAACCATTGGTTGGGAGTCAGATTGGCTTCTTTTTCTTTTTTTTTTTTTTTTTAAGTACAATGTCATGGGTGACTGCTGACTCTCGGGTGCGGTGTGCACGAGGGCGGCATGTGCAGGGTGAGCTCCATGCAGCGTATTTATTGCTTGTCGTGTAAATTAAAGACCTTGTATTTAACACTTTTCGATCCTTTTAGATAAAATTGTTTTTTGCAAGAATGATTGGTGCTTATTTTTTCAAACATTTGCTGTGAACAATGTGATGGCAACAAGCAACGTTTATCTGATGAACTACGGCTGTCTGAATTGGGTCTTCAAGTTTTCTGTTGCACTTGTAAAATGCTACAAGGAATATTAAAAAAAAAAAAAA